GCCTGATTTGTTTCTTCTATTACTTTCTCTCTTTTCTGCCTTCCTGTCTATCTCCTTCCGTGTCTTCTTACCTCTCTCTCTCTGTCTCTCTGTCTCTCTCTCCTCTCTTCTCTCCTCTCTCTCGTCTCTCCTCTCTCTCTGCTCGTCTGGTTCTGGGGGGGGGGGTGGGGGGGGTCTAAGTCGGGCGACAGGCTCTCTCTCGTCTCGGGGTGGCGTGCGGGGGTGGGGCGGGTCGGGGGTCGGCGCTTCTCTCGTCTCTCTCTGTCTGTCTATCTTCTTTCATTCTCTGTCCGCTGTCCCACTTTCCTCTCTCATCCTCCCTCTCTCTCTCTTCCTTCCTCTCTCTCGGTCTGGGGGCGGGGGGGGGTTTTTTTTTTTGTCCTTTCTCTCTCTCTTTTTTCTCTCTCTCTCTCCCCGTGCGCAGTCAATCTTTCTTCTTCCGCTTCTTTATTCTTCTCTCGTGCTCTACTGTTCTGTCTATCTATTCTATCTATATAATCATCTATCTATCTATGCTATCTATCTTACTATCTATCTATCCAATCTACTATCTATCTATCTATCTATCTATCTTATCTTATCTAACCTACTATCATCATTCTATCTATCTATCTATCTATCTATCTATCTATTCTAAATCCTATCTAGTCTATCTATCTATTTATGCTAATCATATCCTAATATATATATATATTCTATCTATATATCTTATCTATCTATATATATATAATCTACATCTATCTAATCTTATCTTAATCTATCCATCTTATCTATCATATCTATCGCTATCTATCTATTACTATTATCCTATCTATTCTAATCTATCTAACTATCTATTTATCTATCTATAATCTATAATATATAAGTATATTATATATATATATATATCACCTATCTATTAATCTATCTATTCTACCTATCTATCTTATCTATCTATCCTATAATAAATCTATACTATCTATACTATCTATCCTATACTCTATCTATATATCTATCTATCTAGTCAGTCGTCTATCTATAACTATCGTATCTATCTAACATCCTGCAATGTTTGTCTCTCTCCGCTCTCTCTCCCTCTCTTTTTTTCTTCTCCGTCTCTCTCTCGATCATCTCCTCTCTCTCGATTTCTCTCTTTCTCATCTAGGCCCTCTTCTCTAGTTCTCATACTTTCTCCTCGTATCTATGCTTTGACATCGGGTATGTTACTTCATCAACGCAGCGCGGTAGTGTGAACCATACCCGAGAGCGAGAGAGCGCGCGCGCGAGAGAGAGAGAGAGGAATGTAATGGTACGATACGGGTTATGTGGTAGCATCTTGGCATGATTGGTGTGGCTTGTTCTGAAGCAGCCCCTGGGACATCATCACCATCATCATCATCTATAACAGATAAAGCTCGGGCAAGGACAACGCTCCCCAACGCGTCGTCTCAGCAACCCGTCTGTGTGTGGCTTGGTGTCATTGCGCTGAAGGCTGCCAGAGAGAACGCGGCCAAGGTACGCCGCTGCGTCTACTCCAGCCCCTGGTGATTAGCCATCAGGCGATTAACCGTCAGCGTCAGGCTCTGCGCGCACCAGATGGCGTCGTGAACATCTCAAGTGATCGTGACAACGACATCGACTACACTAATGGCTAGGAGACATGTCGTTACCCCGCGCACCCGCGCGACAAACGACGGCACGGTCATTTAGACTCGGCTGTCTCATTTGTTAAGACGTCGTGTTCACGTTGGAGCTTGGTGATCATGTGGGAACGATTAGCGTTTAACTGGTTTGCGGTTGGCGACCTCGATGTGATGGAATCTTATTGTTTCATTGTACTTTCGCTCTTCTACGTTTGCGGTGTCATGCACTGTGCGGAATTCTCGCCTGTTCCCTCCAAGGAGCCATTAAGATATACACGTACACATCTACACACACGCGCGCGCACGCACGGAAGCACGCGCACTCACGCACGCACGCACTCACGCGCGCGCGCACACACAAACACACGCACTCACGCGCGCGCACACACACACACGCGCGCGCACACACACTCACTCACTCACACACACACACACACACACACACACACACACNTTTTAACTTTTATAAATTTTTTGGTTTCAGCCAGAACCACCTCCCAGACGTGCTGATTCTGAAAATATCTTTAGTTTTCCTATAGGCTGCGGAGTTCTCTAGTTATGCGAGTACGAACTAATTCGGCTGAACAACTTCATATAATTTATAAGAAAAGAATACAAAATAATAATATAATAAATAATTTTTTTTTCAGCCAGAACCACCTCCCAGACGTGCTGATACTGAAAATATCTTTACTTTTCCTATAGGCTGCGGAGTTCTCTAGTTATGCGAGTACGAACTAATTCGGCTGAACAACTTCATATAATTTATATAGAATAGATACGATATCGGGCAATACAAGACAAAAGAGAATCACACCAAACAACAATCACGATTGGTGGCATATTTTTTCTCGATTTTCACGTAATGCGCATATACAATTTATACCATGCCATACGGATGTTCTATATAAACACCATTATGGCAACATTAGATAGCAGATCCTTAATCTGTGTAATTTGATATTAAAAAACTATATTCCTTATAGTCATATAATAGCGAGATAATCATACGACTACACAAGCTCCTATATATGCACCCATACACGTACGATAATGAAAACAATACTCCATATCAGTATTATCAGGTATTATATTAGCTCTTGGTATTACGTAATATTGACGTGACAATAGTTAAAACGAACACAGATAATAGTAGTAGAAAATCTCGTGTAAAATTAACGATATTGTATATATTTCATCAAGTGTATCGTGATAGGGAACTTGCGTGCGGTATCAGAAAGAACTTCGTCGAATTCGAACGGAAATCGAAACGAAATTACAAGTTCTTAACTTATTTAACTTATTTATTTATCACAAACGCAAAACGAAGGCAAACTACCACTTGTAGTGCCAACATGGGTGCAGCTCGAAACGCCAGTGGAAGACTTGCAGATCCCCCCAGAATTTGCACTGGTTGATTTGGATGCGCCGCTTCTCTAAACCCTGGATGGTGGGACTCTGCAGACCGAGCGCCGAGCATCGGGAGAGTCTCTGATGAGTTGAACGGGGACACCAATCACCTACTAATCAGATCAGCCAAACTCCAGCGATCAATGACAAGGACGGTTGATAGTGTCTCGGACACTCTGCACCCGATTACTGAGCTGCTCGACTCGCTTATAAGGACGTCTCATAACACCCAAAACAATCTATGGTGTATAACCAATCTATGTATATATATTTCCTTTTTTAACTATATATGCATCGAGCATCATACCATCTGGGACATTTTGCCATTATTCACTAAAACACTATTTCTTGATAAAAAGAAAACTATTATTGTTGCTATAGAAGCTAATAAAACAATAGCAATAAATATTGTGAAAGACATATAGGAGCATTTTGCACGGAAAGTACACAACACAGTACTGTAGTGTAGATAATAATATAATAATTTCTAACAACTCCCATAATTATATAAATTTATGCTTTTTAGAATGGGAAAAATTATAGTAATATGCGTGACTTGTTACGATAACGTGATTTAAATGATATTTTTACGCGTTTGTGTAACATTATTTGCGTAATGATTTCGTATGTTGCGTACAGATGGCGCGGCACCCTAAACGCAGTGCAAAACGGGTGCATTTGATTGGCTAAAGCCAGTAAGCGATGCGAATTTTGAACCGCGCAAAAGAAGGGAAGGAATAAGGAATGCTAAGGAATAAATCAAGATTGAATTACATATCAAACACCAGCGCGATGAAACCAACGTAAGTATAAGAATCGAGGTTATTTAACTGTGTAGGGTCAGAATTAGGAAAATAAGTGCCAAATATAACAAATTTACGATGTTTTAAACTACGAGTTGATGCGCCGTCAGTCTGACAGTGACACTGAGTCTAGGGGCCTATCACACTCAGTCACAGCATCGGCTGCCATCGTGTCACTAGATGAAGAAATGGGTTCCGTAACAAAATAATGTTAGCTTTTGTGCCGTTTCTGAACAAATAAATCGATAGATTGTGCCAAATACTAGTATCTATTTGCAGTCTAACGCCTCCCTGTGTCTTGAAAGTTGAAATTGAACGGAATCAGGATATTGTTTCAATGTTTGTAAATTGTACCTATGCCTATGGACCTGGCAGTGTATCGACTATCATCATCATGCCACCAAAGTCAAGGCCAAGGGCCAATACATAGTGACAGTTTTACCACTTTTTGCCAATTTTGGAACTAAGCTTTATTAATATTATTATAGCTTGTCATGAAATTAATGAAACATGCAATAGGGCAGCATATATATGTAGTGCTCACTAGTAGTAGTAGTAGTAGTAGTATTATAGAGCATTGTACAGTGGTGTGGGATCCTAAGTAGAGCAGCTCACTTCAAGTTCATAATATTAATAATAATGATACATAATTTCACTGAAAGGTAAACTTTCCACCCTAGCTTCACGATGCAGAGTCACCAAACTCACAGTCTTTTAATAAGTTGTCGCTGTCTTATCAGGGCGCGACAAACCCGGTGGCCCCTTGCTCGGGGCAACCAAAATTCGCCCCCGGGCAAGTAGCTTGAAATTGCACTTGCCCGTTCGGGCAAGCAAGTTTTTTGTATTGAATGTCTAGACGACATAATGATATTTTTCTGTTTCCATCTGTTCCTTGCATTGTTTTGCACAGACACAACATCGCGCTGGTTTGCTGCAACAAGATTTGAATGAAAAAAACAATGTGAATGAAACAATCGGTGCATACAGTGATGTGCGCAACATGCACACAGTGATGTACGCAACATGCACACAGCAACCCGGCATGCATGGTCGTTACGTGATCAGCTACCTCAAATGTTTGCCCCTCTACTGCAACCTGTGAATGAGGATTTTCTTTGCTGAAGTACACAAAAACAGATACACTGTATACTGTGTTGTCAGTCTATTATATCTGCTTGCATGCACCGCTATATTCTCTGCGCTTATGTTCTCTACAATCTAGCCCCAAATAAACGTGAACATTTTATTAATTTATTGTGAGTGTGGTGGGTTTTTGATAATAAACTGACACTTAAAATATTTAAAAATTTAAACAAACTGCGTGCTGTGTCCCAACATAACATGAATATATTTTGTATATAAACTCGTATCAGCTGTTAAACTTTCTACCGTGCCGTTAAGTGAAATGCTGGATGTTGACTAGTTGGACCTTCATTTACGTTATTTACCATTTAAATTCATGTTGGAAAAAAATCTTATGTTTTTCGGGCAGTGACTTTTGCCTCCGGGCAACCAGTTTCATAACCCACTTGCCTGACAAGCAAAATTTTTTGTAGCACCCTGCTTATTCCCTGCCATCCCTGTTGGAAATTTTGGAAAACCACTAAAATGCCCCTGAAAAGCTGTTTCCAGTGTTATATATATATGTTATCATATATGTGTACCCATAATCGAATTGGTTCATCATAGAGTTTGAAGGGCTGGGTGAATCCTAGATGTACCCCTATTCTAACTACACTTTATTTAGAAAACCAGTAAGTAATTGACCTTGGCCAAAAGAATTAACCATTTATCAAACTATATATCCACCTACCTCAGTGTGTGGTACATATGATATCAGGTGAGTGTATAAATATAGCACTGAATAGGGTAGTGCTTCCCTAGATAAACCCATATGTGAGGTAGCAGGGTTGAGTTGGTGAGTGGCCAATGTGCTGAGACAAGCACCTTCATATTAAACGTGTTTAGCGCGTGCCTGGCACATAGTAATTAAGCGAATTAACAGTAAAAATGTCTTTAATAAGAATAATACTGTTTGTTTTGGGCGTAGTGTGTTTGTGCAATATGGTGCCAAAAATGTCATACATGTATTTCCAGCTATTATTTCCAGCTGTGTATAAGTTCCAGCTCCAGCCAGGTAATTCTGGTGGTAACTTGATAACAGTTAGCTCATTCAGTCAGTTTTAGATTGAACATATATATAGTTGGATAGGGTACATCAGCAATAAAAATACTCTGAATGAATTGTTGACATTTTTTCAGGAGAGGTAAAACGCCCAAGAAAACCCCTAAAAGGCTCAAGACTGCACCAAAGGATCCTGTGGAGGTAATCATAAAATGCAGACATAATTTATTCTCTCTAAAGACCACACATGCTTAGTTACATATCAATTTTGGCAGGCATGCTCCAGAGAGCACATGCAGAAAGCATCTCATCATCTTCTATAATACCTAATCATATGAGATAATAAATCTTTGTGACCCAGGGTTCTCCCTACGTTGCGCAAACGGGGCGCCCGCGCCCCGTTTGGGAAAACTCCCCCCTGTTTGAATTTCATCCTGGGGAGAACCCTGTGACCCCACCTACCAAACTGACATCTGTGTGTCTTACACAAACAGTAATAACGAATATTGTGTCGGCACCACACTCCTCGATTGATAAATTTCTGTACGGTTTAACATCGTAATGGGGTTGCTATTTTCTACAGGTTTACTGCAGACTAAGGCCCTTAGAGTCTGGCTTAACTGAGCGATGCTGTGCACCAACAAGCAGCACTATTCTGAAGATCTGGCCTCCGGAATCCTCCCAGACGTTCAAATCCGGCAACTATAAGGAGGTAATCGGTCCACTTTCACTTTGTAAAGTTCAATTGACAAACTATATATAGAAGAGTTTTTAAAAACAACTGGGAATTGCACCTTGTGAATGTGCAAAGACATCTACATGTATTTGTCAAGTTACTACCACTGACTTCTGATCTGTCTATATCGACTATTTGGGCAAAATTTATTGAAATATTTTACTTAATGTACATGCAGCTCTGATGTTCTTTGAAATGAGCATGAATATAAATTATTTTGTTACATAATTGAGACTGAATGTTTTCTTTCCATAGTTGGATTATGGATTCAAGTTTGTGTTTGATGAGGAGAGTTCACAGAAAGGCTTGTACGACCATGTAGCATTGCCTCTAGTAGATGATTTACTGCATGGCAAAAATGGTAGGTCAATTAATTCACAACATCGCATAATTATTCATTATGGCTGAGTTGTTATTGCGAACTAATTGTAAATTAAAAGTGTATAAAAATTAAAAAAAGAAGAAGAAATTATTTGGTATGTGCTTGCAATGATAATTGTAATATAACAACTCATGATTGTACTTATTTTGACTCCCTACTACAGGGTTACTGTTCACTTATGGGATAACTGGGTCTGGAAAAACACACGCAATGACCGGAACGCCACAGGATGGGGGTATTCTTCCCCGGTGCCTCGATGTCATTTTCAACAGCATTGGTGAACTACAGGCTTATAAATATGTAAGATATGTTTCACACTTGTTATGATTAATTTGATTAGAGCTGGCTGTAGGAGAACAATATTTGAACTGAATATGAGGTTCCTGTTAGCATTATAATGTTTGGCAATTACACATTTGTATATTCTGTTTTCAACTAGTTTCGAATTGTGTCACGTTGATAAATCTTGTGATACAAACTAGTTTTAATTTTTATACTATTTTGACACTTACAAACTGCACATGTTGTTAGTACTGTGTGATTGTGCTGACAGTTCAATGGTCCATGGTCCCACAAATATATTGAGGTTTGATCTACATGTTCTGTGGGTAAATGCTCTCAATCATTAACTGTGTTATTCGCTGATCTGTCTCGCAGGTGTTTAAACCAGACAAGGCCAACTTGTTTGAAGTGCAGACGGAAGCTGATGCAATGCTAGAGCGTCAGGAGCGCGACGTCGCTCCACCGACCATCCCCAAGACTCCAACCACTCCTCGCAGGTATGAAGCTCAACTACAGAAGCAGTCGATTGTATCAGATGAATGAAACTTGCATCCCTATCATCCGAATGTCGAACAAAACGTCCTCCCTCAGCTTTTGTGTCATTGAATAGTGAATACAAATCGGACACTCTTGTACTATACGTTGCATATCAATCAAGTTATGCTTTGTAGAATGATCCAAAGCTCTTGCCATCTGTTTAATCATCGAGACAGCGCTGAACGTATAGAATGCATTTCGCGATGCTCATTGTATCGCGTCCGATGATTCTCAGGCCCCGAGGAGCAGACTTTGAGTACGGGTCGCGCGTGCCGGACCACACGAAGATCACGAATCTGTTTGAAGACAACGTGTACGCGGTGTTCGTGTCGTACGTCGAGATATACAACAACTACGTGTACGACCTCCTCGAGGAAACGGAATACGACGGCGTCAAACCCAGGTGTGCCTACGCGCGTCACGTTCGCATTTTAGGATTTTTTTATTGGCCGGTTGGTTGCGTGAATGCGATTAAATAAACGATGGTCTGTTGCTCTTCAGCAAATTGAATCCTCTTCGCAGTGTGACCTAACCCAGCATTTTAGTATGGGGTTGGCAGATTGTACCTAAAATGTGCAAGTTGTTATTTAAGTTCATTATTACGGTTGTGAATTGTTGGGGTTACGACAAATGCGTGATCACGACAGTTATGGTCAGCAATATTAATGCACTGCAAGGCGTTGCGCTCACGACACGAGGTCACGTGTACCTTGAGATGCATCGTACAATTAGCTCAACACGCATTGAATTCGTGTGCAGGCCGCCACAGTCGAAGGTGATGCGGGAGGATGCGAATCGCAATATGTACGTGAGTGGAGCTGTAGAGGTGGAGATTAAGAGCACAGAGGAGGCCTTCGAGGTGCTGTTGAAAGGTATGTCAGTGTGTGATGGAAGCAAACGGCAGCGGACAGTGGAAGTTATTTGGAGCTGCTAATGTTAACAATAACAGATAACAGTACAAAACACTGACAATAGTGTGATGGGAAATCCTCAGTGTTGTTTCAGTTGTATTTCATCATTTTACTCACGTACTAACTACTTTACTGCTAACCGGCATTGCTAACCGAAATATAACTGGTCAACAAAATCAGGCTAATTGCATGTCCCTATGTTAAATATGTTATGTTATGCGTTAATACTTATGTTAAATAGTTTCTAATGTTAAACATAATAGTTCTTGTACTCCTTGTCAAATATTGTGATTCTCATCTTTAAAATGCCTGTGCCTCTCCGGTTTTACTTTCTCGAACCACGTGATTAATCGTCTTCTTTGTTACCGTGCTGTAGGTCAGAAGCGGCGTAGGGTGGCACATACTGTGCTCAACACCGAGTCAAGTCGAAGCCACAGCGTGTTCAACATCAGACTGGTGCAGGCACCATCAGACCCTGTCGGCGAGGAAGTGCTTATGGTGTGTGTGTGTGTGTGTGCGGGTGCTTTTGTGCGTGCGTGCGTGCGTGCGTGCGTGCGTGCGTGTGTGTGTAGTGGAGACGTGCTGGTGTGGCACCATTCATGTGTGAGCCGCAGATTTGAGTTTGATGTGCGTCTACATGCCCGTGTTATTATGATTAAAAAAAATTCATGTAAATGTGCCAACGGTTACATTTGTGAATTTCAATGTAAGCAGGGAACTCTCTCTCTCTCTCCTTGTCTCTATTATCCTATGTCTCTCTATGTGTCTCTCCCTCTTTCTGCCCTCTCCCATCTCTCTCCCTCCATTCTCCCATTTCCCTTCTCTAATTTGCCCCTTCTCGATCTCTCCACTCTCCCACTCTCCCTTATCTAATTCAATCCATCTCCCTTCTTTCCCTTTCTCTCTTCTCTTCTCTCTCTCTCTCTCTCTCTCTCTCTTTCTCTCTCTCTCTCTCTCTCTCTCTCTCTCTCTCTCTCTCTCTCTCTGGGCCATCATACTTCACAAGGTAAACGTATTTCTTAACAGCTTGACCTGAAACAGTTTACCATCTGTGTCACCTAAACCTGAATTGTCTTTCCTTACCAGGATGGGGAAGCTATCTGTGTTAGTCAGATGTCTCTGGTGGACTTGGCAGGCAGTGAGAGAACTCACAGGACAAACAATTCTGGAGATCGGCTCCGTGAAGCTGGTATGTCGACAATATAATTAGTCAGTATTGCTGTTGCAAAAAAATGAATCGAAGTTTGAAGGGTAATAATAACTCATTTTTGCTGGAAATATGTGGATTGTGTGGAGAAATTGAAAAGGGTAAAGAAAGAGTTGTACGTTGTAAGAAATTATATTATTTTGTTGCTATACGGGGGATGAGTTATTTTTGAATTTGCTCGGAGACGTGAGCATCTAATAAAATGTGCTTTTACTGCCTTTTTTCAGGAAACATCAATACGTCGCTAATGACATTAAGAACTTGCATAGAGACGCTTAGGGAGAACCAAATGATGGGCACTAATAAGGTAACATATAAATTAGCTGAAACGTGAAATGGCTTATGTAGGTGAATGGTAGACAATGATTCGAAATTCATAAATTGACAGTGATGTCAAAGTGCTGACAGATCTAGCATTGGTAGCTATTCTAACCATGTTTTTTGCCAGTAGTGTGCAGGGTTTTTCTGGGCAAGTGTGCAGTAGTTGACCAGTGATATTATGCTTAAGGTATTTTGGCAACTCTACCATGATTGTTGTGCATTTCAGTTGGTTCCTTATCGAGACAGCAAAGTTACGCACTTGTTTAAGAACTATTTCGACGGTGAAGGCAAGGTCAGAATGATTGTCTGTGTCAATCCGGCCGGCCCTGACTATGAGGAAACATTGGTGAGTTACAAACCATTCCTATTCGTCTGTTTTACTTACATTTATTTGGTAAAATATTGTGTGTTCTTTACTAATACAGTAATAATAAACTCTTCCTGCCTATGAGAAGGAGACAAGGCAAGATAATTTGCTGCTACGTTGTTAATGAATGCAAATTGAAATGCTGTGCTTTGTCTCCTTTGTATCTGTGGTTATGGTTAATACGGATCATAAGTGTGCATACATGCATTTGCCTGTAGATCATAATGGTTGAGGAATTTCTTGAGAATATTCAGGTTTTGTTTAGAGTGAGTATGTGCAACAGTACAAAGGGTACACGTAACAGGAAGGTCAACTATTTATGGTTTCCAGCATGTGATGAAGTTTGCGCAGCTGACACAAGAAGTGCAGGTAACACGGCCGACCGAAATTATGTTTGACGTTGGTTTGGCTCCTGGCCGTCGCCGTGCCAACCAGATGTACAAGGATGCTATGAAGAAAGCAGAGGAGGATGGAAGTAAGTAGCATTTTGTCAGTTTTATCAGTGTGTTTATGAACTGGTTAATCTCATTTTTGGCTTTTTTATAACATTTCGTAGTGATGTAAATGATCTCTTAATAAAGTAAATTGGTTTCAAATGTAATTTATTTCTATTTTCAGCTGATGTTGATCTGGCAGTTCTACCCATTCCATTACAGTACAGCCTTGGGCCCCCATTCCCACAACTAGAGGTTAGTGAGCAATTATTTAACCAAAGAGATAATGAACCGTCTCACACGTTACTTGTTGTTTGCATGCACGATGTCCCCAGTGTGACGCAGGTGCCCAACTTTTCGCACATGTTCAGTTTGTTAAGTTTCTCATCGTGCAGTTAACCCTATAAATGTAGCCCGGCTTCATAGCAAAAGATCAGCTGCTGCCATCGTGCATTTTCGTTTGGGCAGGAACATGGATGTTGCTGGTGTTCGATTCTCGTATGACGAATGCAGTGAGTGTAAATCCGTGTATTACAGATCAGTGACGCAGCCGATGGCAGTGTGCTGGTTCCGCTGGTGCAGTTCCTGGTGGATCGGCAGAACCGTAGGAATACCCTGCTTCGTGACCTCGCTCACAAACGTATGCTCCCACACTGCTCGCGCTAGGCACGCACGCGCGTGCACAATTCATACTCATTGACTTTTAATTTGATTGTGACTGATTTCGTGACTCGTGGTTCATGTGGTTATAAGTTCAGTGTCTGCTGGAAAAAAAGCATCTAACAAAAATGTTTTGATAACCACAATCAAAAAATATCATAGCTAAATAGAATTAGGGTCATTAGTGGCCATAGTGTCAACTGTGCCGTTTATTGTTTGACTGGTGTTTACTGCCTATTCAACTGATGAGATATGACAGTTTCATATTAGTATGTACTTTGTTTTTGTTTTTTACAGAAACGCAATTTCGAAATGATTTGGTTACATTAGAGAATGAGAGAAATCACTACAAATCTGTAAGTTGCTTTTCAAAACATGAGATATATGTGCCTATTTTGTTGCCAAGGCTTGTTTTGACATTTTTCATCTTTAAATAGCAGATGACCATCAGATTTATTGTTTTGTTGTTCATTGTTTTTCTGTAAATAATTATCACTACTTGGTTGCTAGGGTATAGTGTGTTCTCGCTACTGTAGTATGTGCTAACTTAAGTGTCCACAGCAGTCCGCATGTGCGATAGCACAACCAAATGTTTCCATAGTACTCCTTTCTCAAGTTATCTCAATTTGCTTAAAAAACATGAAAGCAACCTTTATGAGTCAAATATCGCTAAGATTAAATGTTTGTCTTCAGCACTGAGTTAACAGGTAGTTTACATAAGCGAGCTTTATCCATTAAAAGCTGTGATAACCCTATAGACACCCACACTCATTGTCTCTTTCTTGGCTTCAGCAAGCAGAGTACCTGACGACAGAGTTGGATGCTGAGCAGAAGAAGAGCGATCGGCTTGAGCGGCAGCTGAAACAGTACCAGAAATACCTGAGCGAAATGGAGAGAGCTAACCTGAACAGTGAGGCTGACAAAGTGCATCTGCAGTACGAGGTATGGGCACTATTTACATGCCAAATCAAATTATAATTCTGATAATAAGTTGATGTCAGGTACTGTGATCGTAAGTGATGATGATCTCATGTCGATAAGCGAAATATTAAAAAAAATTAATACAAAATAATTCATGGTCTAGCTGGATGACAAGAGAATGAAGATCACGCAGGAGCAGATGGAGCGAGATCGGCTGAAGAACAAGTATCGCAGCAAGATCGACCTTGAGCGGGAGCGCATGAGCAAAGAAATGGTAGGCATTTACATCGCTGTGCTATTATTAGACAAATCTCTCAGGCTCGCTCTCTCTCTCTCTCTGTCTGTCTCTCACACTTTCTCTCTTTCTTTCTCTCTCTCTCTCTCTCTCTCTCTCTCTCTTTCTCTCTTTCTGTTACTTCACCGATAACCTCATTTCTTCTTTTTATCTTACCACACGCCCATCAGCCCTTTATGTTGCAAACAAACCAACTAGTTTGTAGGAGTTAAATGCGAGTTGCAGCATTGCTTCAGTCCTCTTGCATTCGCGTGTAAATCGTCTGCTCTGCTCGCTGCGCCACGCTACATTAGCTGTCGACAAACCGAAGTGCTCGCTAAGTTTCTCCCGTCCGTCGCGTGTCTCGCCCTCACGGCTTCCTCGTCGTTGCAGGAGAAGCGTGTGAAGATGACGGAGGAGGAACTGAAGTCGAAGATGTGGGAGCGCGAGGAGAAGCTGCGCGCGGTGAAGGAGATCCTCGCATCGGAGACTCCGGTGCGACGACCAGGTGGGAAGGCGGCGGTGGCGCCACCAACCGGCGCGAGGGCAACGGCTAACACGCCTCGCTTCCATGCAGGTAGCTTAAACTAACCATAGCGTGCTGGCTTGTCATTGTTGCGCAGTCGTTACTGAGCAGTCATTGCTGGGCAGTCATTGCCAGGCGGTCATTGCTGGGGAGTCATTGCCAGGCACTCATTGCCAGACAGTCGTTGCCAGGCAGTCATTGCTGTGTGGGTGGTAATAGCAGTAGCGGCGCATGTATGCTGTAATTCATGTAGCTATATGCTTGCATCAGTTATTGCCTATAGCATGTAGCATTCGGTAATGAAATGTTGTCCAGTTGTTGTCTGTTGTTCGTGCTGCTAACCATTAGTTGTAGCAATGATAACAATGCATCCCATTGCATTCTGCATTGTGCAAATAGTGTATTTTGCATTTCATAGCTTCCTTAGTCATTCAGCTGCATGATGATGCATTGCATCAACCAGGATCGACTGCACGTGCTATGTTCCTTAAAAATTAATTTTGACAGGTTGATACATGTAAAGATTCTATCTAACAATGATATGTGATTGTTACAGATCCTGTTAACTCTGCTTTTAAAATTATTGCTAATGCCACACGAACTGGTGCTGGTTCATACAATATATATGCGGGTAAAAACGATGATGCAATTGCTGTAGGCCGTGTGAAGCCTGCTCAGTCCGAGCCGCGGCTGAACTTCGTCGGATCTCGGGTGAGAGAGTTCAACAACCAGACACCGACTTCTCGACCTGGGACGAAGCTCAGATCCAGGTCTCCTCCTCCAAAGGGCGTAAGCATCTTGCAATGCACGAATACGTAGTGATGTTAGTGAGAAATATGTAATGCTAAAGCAAAATCTATTTACGAGTGGGCGTGCACCTTGCTTGAATCGTGTCAGCACTCATCGTTTCATATCAAATTTCTAGGGATACTAAAGTCATGTAAAATATTCTTTCCAGTAGGCCCACTATTAGTAAAACAGGATGTGGTCATCCATAATGACTTATATTTATATTTCATATGATACTATGTATTATGCTACAGTATAATGATATAGTATGACACTTGGTTAGATTTAATATTTGTGAATAACAAGTACAAAGTCTGTCAGCTTTGTTTTATAGGTGGAATGATTTTCTTTCAGAGCGCTCCTGTTGTTAACATCCGACACAGACGATCCCGCTCCACTGGTGCCGATACGTGGCTGGACCACAGACCTCCTGGCAATATTGAAACTGGTACGTATTGCTGCTGTGAACCAATGCTGCTCTCGAAAAAACAAAAACAATATAATGCAGGTATACGAAACCCTGAGGGTCTGCTGCTAAAAAGAATTAATTCTATTTGTGATAAAATTGCACTGATGTACCTGTCAGTTACTCGGTGCACAACTCTCTGTTAACATGGCCTTACGCACGTCGCGATAGCCTCACGTTGAATCTTGAAAAATTCATTCAGGCACAGTACTGCAGAAGAAACTTCGTAACAAGAAGTCTGTGAGCCAGTTGGAAGTGCAGGACACGCAGCGCTCCTCCAAGTACCTGCTCACGCATCAGGAGCAGCAAGCCGACGGAAACGTAGAGACCAGGCTTATCAAGGTAGAGAGATTAGCAGTGCGTCTGAGGGCGTGTAGAAGTGCCTGGGCGGGCCCTGGGTGTCCACCGGCTGCACTGTGCCCATACAGACCTGCCAACCCTTACGATTTTTTCGCATTCCTTACGAATTCCATGATGTTTCTAGTTTCTACGAATGTACGATCAAACTGAAAAACTTACGATTTTTTACGACTTGTGAAAATTAATGTTTTTTACATTGTGAGCCGAGAACGCAGCCATATTGGATCACGCATTCACGTTGTTCTCGCGTGATCTAGAGTTAGTCCCATCATTCATTGCGCGCATAACATACAAACAAAATGGCCGCCTGCTGCAAGAAAAGAAAAGCCTTACTATTTTCTTGAATCACAGGTTGGCAGGTCTGCCCATAGTGAAAATCGTGAACCATGAAGTTCGTAGCCGTGAATGCTATGTGATGGTTTCTCTTGGTGTGGTCAGTTAGTTGCAAATTCTCATCTGTCGTGTCTGTAAATGTAAAATGAACATATTCGCTATTATATCTTCATACTGTCTATGGAATGATGGATTGCCTGCGGCAAACAGCGTAGTCTCGGAAACCATCTGAAACGAGTATATGCATTAACTATATCGTGATGGTTCTAACATGGCACAAAGTTCCAGCTATAATCTAACCAAATATACTTGACAGCGTAGTAATGTTTATTTAAGTATAGGCAGATAGGGAAACTGGGCAGAGTGACAGGTAATCACACGCACACACAAAATAGTACGTGCAGTTACACTGACGTTTTGATGTGCAGGGGTAGAAATTAGCTTTTGATCAAGGGAATCCAACGGACTCCCTGCCCTCAAAAAGAGGGAGTCTGCAGCAAATGTTCGCAGTCTGAATTTCAAAACTAAAGATATTAACAATAACGCATGTGCTTATTTTGAAGATTCATGCAGTTGCACAGTTGCACGTCTGCCAAATTTTATTTGGTCATTTGCTGAAAAAATACGGTAATTCCGCGAGGCCGTGCTCTGGATCGAACTATTTAGTATAGCAGAATTTTCGAGGAGTCCGACAGTAAATCAGGGCGTATATGACTCCGGACTCGCGTTAATTTCACACCCTGTGTGACGATGCTATCTGCTGACGTGCCGTATTATTGTCGTGTTGCGCAGGGCGACTGCCTTCCTACGGCCGGAGGCGGGACTGCTGTCGTCTTCAACGATGTTGAAGTGCTTCGGCAGACGTCGCCGGGAAGCAGGAAGCGGCGCTCGGATCCGGACGAAGACATGGTGAACGGCGTCGATGGCGACTGGACGGACATCGAGACCAGGGTGAGTGAGTGACCGCTCCGAGCGAGAAGACGATGCCGCGACGTCTATTCGGCGATCGTGTCGCCGAAGCGTGCCGCGTTCGCGGATTCTGTGTGGTATCGGCGGGGGGCTTATGAGGCATTCTTCCCATGGCGTGAGCAGAAAGCGTTCGGCCGCTGTGTCCTATGTACTGCATCAGAGTGTAAATTATTGTCTATAATGATGGATGGAGTGAAGATTGCGTAACATGACAAGAATTACGTTATTTTTAAATTACATTGTGTTACATTAGTTTATCTTAATCCTGTTAATTTCATATTTTCATTGTTTAATTCATGTCTTCTGTCATTTATAGTGTGCAACGGGAATTGAGGGCCACCATGGCAGAATTACAGGAAAGTAAGTAAATTTGTGGTAGAGTGTCACTGTTTCATTGCTTCATCAGTCTACTGTTACAATAACTAAATGTAAATTTAAAGTATTACTGGTGCATTCACCATGTAGCTACGTCTCTACTGAGTAATTCACATGTGCATCATGGTTTACGTACTCTCTTTCTTGCAGGCGAACGAAAGTATGAATATGGTGACAGAAACAGAAGCCATTCGACCTAGATGCAATCCTGTGAAGAACTGCACGTGTAATCATCGTGCGGCAACTACTTGATGATCCGTGGAATGCTTCAAGTCGGTTGCCTATATAATCGTAGCATAGTCAAGGTAGCGGGGGTGTAGTGAGTGAGCCGGCGTTCACATAATCATCGAAGTGATATTTCAGTGGAACAGATTGGCGTGAGCTCTGGGTACTGTATCAGAGTGTAAATTATTGTCTATAATGATGGAAGTAGTGAGATTGAATCCTGCGCGGGAGGAAGGAGGAGGAGGGTGAGTTGGACATGAAGAAGAGGGGAGAGAGGACGCATCGCTGCTGATGAGTTTGAGTAACAGTGAGAAGCGAGACGAATGTTGAGATTTTTGTACAAAATACGCATGTTGATGGTGGTGAGCGGTGGTAATATTAACAAAAAAGAAACTGTACTTGCACTATAGAATATGATACATCATGAAAAGAAGAATGTGTGGAGTAGAAGTGTAAGGAATATAATCAAGAGGTTGATATCATCTGCATGGTCGAAATTTGACACTATTTGGTGATGATTTTGTATTGGTCTGTTGTCTTGAATTTTCATTCATACTCCTACTATTTCCATGCGGTCGTTAAATTTATTCTGTGTTGCATATTGGCTCATTTTGAAATTGCATTCCTCAGTTTAAATAGCAGCACGTTTTCCAAAACTGAAACGTTCATGCCTTATCTTGGGCACATGCAGGTGGTATCTGTAACTCTATGTAATTCATAATGTCACCACCATAACTAATCTTGTAGCATCCACTGCACTTTCATTTTTTATGAATATTTTATATCGTGAGAAGTCTTGAGTGTTTCATTTTATCATGTCTCCGTTTTGGTGTTTTATGATTTTTTCTTATACTTTCGCTAGTGATTTAGCATTCACATGTGGTACCGTTTTTAATGCCGTGGCAGTACACTATTAAAATACTGCTGTAAAATCACTGACTATTGCCAATGTTGTAATCTATAATATGATTCTGAGTCATTCACGTATATGTTTTCAAATGACAAATATCTAAGCCTTCAGTTACGTGTCCGTATGTGAATGCTGCTGCTCTGCTATGTCCTGTCCAATTTTCACGGTTGTCCCCAATTTATAAAACGTCAAAATTAACAAATAAAAGGCGGGAAAAATACCTGAAATTACAATTATAATAATGGTACTGTGCAGACATTGATGCCTTCTGGCAGTCTGGTGTGATGCAGTGATTTGTCTGTCAACTCGTTTGTGTTTGTGGTTATCCAGAATCTTATTTGTATACTAGGTGTCTACTGTGGAACGTTTGTTGTCTTTCTAACGATACTAACTATTGTATTATTGTAATTTATGATAAATAAAAAATTGACATATAATTCATATAATAAAAGCCAACATTGTTGTATGAATTTTTTAAACATTTTATTTGTGTATTATGTAATGGTAGGCCTATATAAGTTGATTATGAACCACAACACTGCTAAATGTTTTCTACAAGATTCAAACCCATTTGGGCTTTTTCGATATCCGCCTACACTATCACAGTTTTATCATAGATGACAAATCTTATTTTACATTTTGTCGTGGGCTTCCATTCCCGAGGGTTAATGAATTTGCCATGTTGATATGGAATACTCCGTTTACAATAAGCCTCGTCTACATTATGGTAGGCGCTCAAATATTAATTACTATTTTAGTTTTTGAAAACTACTCGCACTTCTGAGCAGAAGCAGTGGTAATAATTTGCTTTGAGAGCATATCATACGAGACAATAATATCTAGACAATGCAAGACAAAGGAATGCATTAATAGAATAGCACGAAGGTAATATACTCTAAATAGCTTCAATAGCCAGAAGAAACCATCTTTATAAATCCTGTATAAGAAAATGAGTAGCCTAATATGTACATGCATATTTTATTGTCCTGGTGAGATTTTAGACAGTCGTAGAGCATGGTCAGTACGTTTGTAAAAGAGCTGTCAACATTGGGAAAATGAGCTGACTAAATTAAAAGTTAAACAACTAAAATTAGAACATAATAAAATACTACGGAGCATGAAAATATACTGAAATTCGTTACATATCCCTATGCAAACACATGCATAAGTATAGCAGAATTGAAACATAATAATGATTATGCTAGCATTATTGTTATTGACTACCCACTGCTGTTTGAACGTTCGTGAGGGTGCGCATGTGCACGTGCATGGCATTGGTATTACTTCTGTGTGTGAACGTGCATGTATAAGACAAAGCACACAGAAATGCATCCCTGCAGAATACCAAATGGGTTAAACAAACAAAAATCAGAACACACGTTCAAATAAATGCCATCACACGATGCGTGGACGCATTTTATAGGTCAATCAACCGTTAGGGTAGATAGTCATGGTTAACGAATGAAACTTTAACACCACCTTGCTGATCACAACTGGCACCTTGTTTTCATGCAAACACGTTGTTCTCAGCATGGCTGTTCGAATTGTGCATTTCAACTCGTTTGCCTTTATACACAAAACTCCTAGGGCTCATACTGACAAGCCACAGTAGAAGAATTCATACTAAATGCAAACATCACCGGAATGTCAATGAGGTATATACTACAATGCCCCTTACAGTCATATATGGTGAATCATCGAATTCCACTATTGTATTTTTAACATATTTTTAGAGGCATATCTCGTAAGACTTATATTAAGTATTACTCCTACACCTTTATTATGGAAATGAATAAACAGGTCGTTGGTGGCACGTCCAAACTACACTGTAAAGATTTGGCAGCTTTTTGATAGACACCATGTGTACATAAGTATTTACTTCAGTATCTAAATGCCATAAAAGGAGCAGTCGTTGCGCTGAAAAGACTTCTGCTAGATTCTCATGCCAGCCAATATTTGAGCTTTCTGCTTTGACTAGGTTAAACGCTCGACTGAACGATACAGTAAGTGCTTGTAACAAGAAAACTGACTTGCCTAATATTGCAGAAAACCAGCAGTGAGTGCGCATTCATTAATTTACACCACCAATACACCCGCATCTAATATATTTACAAGTCCTACTTGTAGCACTTAAAAATAAAGTGCCTTTTAACACTAATATTCGCTGCTTCCTGATGTACAATTGTAACACAGTGCACAAATCCAGATTTGACATGAACATATATCCATACAAATTATACAGTGACTTCGATACATTGTCAAACTCAATGTTAATTCATTGGCTAATTTAGTTAACATATATAGTAATTATAAGCCATTCACTATAACTCACGAATTCTCTCATCTAAGCAAGCGAAACCTGTTTCATTAATCACATAAACTCGTATCGATTCCACAACAAACCAACAGGAAGCCCATGAGTTACGTACGTGTGACTTGCATTCCAATCTTACAACCGATGTCCCATTTTTCATTAATTATTGTGACCTACAAACCGTGACATCCACATGAACCAACCTACGCTTCTCAAGCCAGCCGAGTCCTCGCGAATTCCACTCAATTCACTTACGAAGAAAATCTGGGAATCGACTACGTTCGTAACTCCGACACTTCCTGCCTACTTCAATCGCAACTCAACCCCCGGTGGAACATTTCCTTTACGAAGGACAACACTATACGAGTGATCACCGCCGTACGACAGCAAGCATGCAACGTCAGTACGAATGACTGCATCTAATTGCATTAAATTTGCAATGCTCCGGCGCACCTAACGCCCCACACTCAACAAAACACACAGTCGACGGCACGTGGAGCATTGCGCACGCTCAGCGCTGGGGGAATAATCTCTTACGACAACGAATGATATATTACTCTCCAGTCCGTCCGCTTCTTGCGTGCCGTCATGGCCGCCGATCAGCCCACGAGCAACGGTTCGTCCTCACCGTGTATGCTCTCGATCAGGTCGTCGTCGTCGTCGACCGCCGCCATGTTGATTAGAATGGCGTACCCACTAGGATGATCTGCCTGCACGGCCTCGTCGTACGGCGGCACCGGCGATTCGGGAGGAAAGCTAATGAGGGGCTCGTTATGGCTGCCGATCGCCTGCTCATACGTGGGCACCTCGTCTGAAAGGGAAACACACGTTTTGTATATCATCACAATATTATGAACACACACATATTACAAGCATAAAAAGCCCAATTTCGTTGTTACAGAAATAAAATCGAGCCGACGTTATTAAAAAAAGAGAGTATCAAATAATATCGTACATGTATATACCAGAAATGCACAATAGTTTAGATGGACTAGGTAGTGAATAACGTCACACGATTAGATATATAATATCAAGAGTACTTAATAGATCTCTATTATGTACTCTTGATAATATTATACACATCTCGTGTATATATAATTTGGTTGTTTATATTTAGTGTTATATAATTGTAATTATAAAGTTGGATAAGTTGAGTCCTGCACAGTAACTAACCTGGAGGACAAACTGTATTCGTCATCGCATCACTATAACTGGGTGGACAACCCTGTATGGCCATCAGCGTGCTGACATCATCTTCTACATCATCCCACAGAGGGAAGCACCGTCTGTGTTGTGGAGGATATATCGAATTGCGAACCGTCTGAAATGATAACCATCGTAACAGAATTCAATCATTTTTATATGCATTTAAAACAGTGATACCATTTTTTTAAGATTGAACTGCATGTATAACAGTAATAATCGAAAGTTTTGCAATCATCCCCAAAGTCAAACGGCTCTCTGTATTGCAGCAACCAGAAAGCTCTATGATCGTCAAGATTCTTCTATCACCATATTCTATCACTTAGAACAACGGAATTAGCTAATGAATGAGGTAGTGTATACTGCAAGTGAAAATATGGAAATATGAAAAAAGAAATTATATAAACAACAACAACAACAATAATAACAATGTTTAAAAATAATAATAATAGTGAATATGCAATGCTTTATTCATTACACACTCACTGTGTATGCAGACAAATAATGGATTTCATTAGGAATAGTGGTGCCTTTTGCATTGCACATATAGTTGGCCAGAAAGAAGCCTCTAGGGTTATATTCGACCCTGAAGCAGAGAACATTGCAAGCCTTACTCTGGAGCTGGGATAGTTGCGAGGCTTTACCCTGGTGAAAAGAACAGTGCAAGCCTTACCCTGGAGTAGGGAATATTGCGACCCTTACCCTGAAGCTGAGACGGTTGCAAGGCTGTACCCTGGAGCAAGGAACATTACAAGCCTTACCCTGGAGCAGAGGAACACTGCGAGACTTACCCTGAAGCAGCGGCGCTGCACGAAGCTCATCGTGACGACGAACGCGAGCAGGATGATCACGCTCGTCGTGATCGAAATGACGAGCGTCTTGTTGACGACGTTGCTCGAGAACCAGCCGCTGTACTGGCGCTGGCAGTACGGCTGCCCGACCGTCCACAGTCCGCTCATGCACGTGCGCGTCTGCGAGCCGACGAGGGTGTATCTGCAACGTGCGCAGAATGCAAACGCATGTGCGTGACCCACCCACTGATGCCGGCACGAAGTGATCAGGTCCAAGCAAGATCAAACACAACATGGAAACCAACGATACGAATGAGAGGTAAATGCACAGATCTAAAAACTTTATATATATATATGTATATACATATACAGTACACAATCTATTCAACGAAACCCTTGGGACCACACACGTTTCAGAATTCAATATTTTTTGTGCATGTTCACAAAATCTCGTGACCCACGAGATTTCGATTCCAAACTTTAAAAAAGAGAACTGCCATCAGATCTACGTTCTACGCGATCACGGACATTTCCACGCGAGTCACGCCGCTTCTCGCGCTCCGCCCCTCCCCCGTCTCCACCGCCTACTCGCAGCGCAGCCCGCGTGGCTACCTGTCGTTGCAGAAGTAGCGCACAAGCATGTGGCCGTGCTGGTCGTTCTCGGTGATGATCCAGCCATTGGGGATTGCGGCGGGAGCGCTGCACGCGGACACGGGCATGCACTCGCCCGACGCGCCGCCGCTCCAGCTGCTGTTCTGCTCACACTGCTTCGTGCTGGCGCCGGCCACGCTGTAGCCCTCTCCACACTCCAGCACAACCTGAACAGAATCAGCAGAAACATAATGTGGTATAATAATAATAATAATAATAATAATAATAATAATAATAATAGTAATAATGATGATGATGATAATAATGATAATGATAATATAAATAATAATAATAACGTAATAACGAAAATAACAATAATATAATGTGGTATTATGCTAGTCCTGATATATATATATATATCATAGATTTTCCTGATGCATGAAACAATATTCATATGTGCTGCAGTAGGCCCAAGAAATCCTTGCATTTTTTGCAAAAGCTACATTACTTTCTTTAGGTACTATTATTGCTATCATAGATCATTAAAATTCCCTCCCCTCGCATCTTCTTAGACAGTTAGAAGATAAAATGTTCTATAATATTTTATATAGGGCATAGCAAATCTGACACATGATGTACAGCAAAGAAACCTTTGACATGCTGCAAGAAACAAATATCTAAGGTGACCTTCTGACACCAGGCGCGGATTTAGGCCGGTTTGCACCGGTTTCCAAAAACCGGTCACAGGCCTCAAAATTCACCAGAATGCACCAAATATAGCCTCATTTTTTTAAATTCCCGGGGGGGGCATGCCCCCGGACCTCCCTAGCTGCAAAAGAAGATATGGAAACTGGTCACCCAAACCCTCTGGATCCGCCCCTGGACACATGTAAGAGACTTAGAGCATTATATATGTTTCACAATCAGCTTATACAATTATGCAGTGCCTACCAAATACATGAAATACACGTCCAACACAACAGAATATAATTGCATTACAGCTAACTTCATTTCTAATTCTATAATTCTATATTCTAATTTCTAATAATTGATATCTGCCATTTTCTCACGCTATGAAGCTATTACAGTCTGTAAAAGAATGCTAATCTGACTCCCGGCATCATAGCAGGAAGATAGCAGCCTACGTTTGTGTGCCATGAGAGCAGTGTTAGGTACGGGGGCACACCGTGATCTCACCCGGAAATACGTGGTCATGCATGGGAAGTGGGACAACACTACATGCGTAATGAACGCATGAACTGACGCACAAACTATTACGCCATCAGCAGGATGTTACTTATATAGATATGCCTCAGTAAGAGGTCAGGCTACTTCGCGTTGGATCAGTGTGTATGTGTGTGTGTGTGTGGGGGGAGGAGTGCTTTTAGTCATTGAAGGAGAGTTTTGAATCACAATAAAATTAACCACGTTTCCACGCACTTTCCTAATCGTGCCACACTAATACTATAATAATGAAGGTACTTTAGTTTCTGACTGTGTATTCTCAAGTATTGCATATCAGAGCAGGAAATCCTATATCACGTTTAGTTTCATTTCCTTTTATAACTTCTCTCCAATTGGCTTTCAGTGTTAGGGGTCAGGGTGTGAGGGGGGTCGTTTGTATATTGGGTGGGGAATCACTCTGTGCACTGAATGAAACACCTTCATCATTATAATTGGTGTGCAGGTATTTCCTCACTTTTATAGGTGGGTAGAGGGGGCTTCACTGGTCCGATGGGTGGACAGGAACTCTGGGATGCTGTGATGCTGGGTTCGCATTAGGACGATTTTTCACATAAAACTACTCAGAAGGGTCTGCTAACTACCTAATTCCAAACTATAATTTCTACAAAATATGAGTCACATTGAGAATTTCTGGTTGCAATCCTGGATTGTATACAATGGCTGGTTAGGGATGATATTCTTTAGTGCAATAGATGGGTAAGGGGGTAGCTTGCTATGCGGGGTGGATGGGTAGGGACTGCATTGCTTGGTGCATTGGATGGAAGTAGGGCAACTTTAGTAAATGGGTTGAGGATTCGTTTCCTTGGTGAAGTGACTCACCATATATCACCATGTTTGTAGTAGGGTTTCACAAGCATGTAGGTGATGTGGGGAGGAGCATGAGGTGGGCGATGGGGAGGAGCATGAGGTAGGTGATGCGGATAGACAACTCACCATTTCACCGTGTGCGTAGTGCGGTTTCACCGGCGTGTACATGCCATGTGGAGGAGCATGTGGCGGGTTACACCTCAAATTCCGCCAACACTGTGGTGGAATTGTGTCGGGACTCCACACGTGGTTTTCCATGTCGCCTGAACATTCAGACACAATGAGAATTCTAATCGTTAGCACAAAAGCAACCTAAACGCTCGCGCACATTTTCTGCTATGCTTATTTTGCACAATAATTATTACACTAAAGGCACATTTTACTGGTTACTCACTAACCTGGGGCGTTACTAGCTTTACATAATGGCACAGAAACTTTAACATAATTAGGGTCTTTGATTACATTTAATCGAATAAAATGATTACCAGTGTTTATTATATTGATATTATAGTAATTACCAGATATACTTACACTTATAGTAACTACTACCAACCAAGATGTAATCAGCGTGACAATAATAGCGGTAATGTTGTCTGCAAGAAAACAAATTTTCAGGAAATAACTAGAATGATTAGCCTCGTTCACACAAGACCTCGTATTTATGAAATACGGTATTTGCGAAATACCGAATCTGAGACAAATACGCGGCCGAGCGTTCACACGCTGATTCGTGGCTCCAGAAATACGGTATTTGCGAGCTGCGAGCTGCTTTAAACAATCAAGCGAACAATGCGAAATAAACAATGCAATGCGCACCAACTGCCGATAAAATACGTAGACTGGTCCGCGCTCGACAGTTCCACTCGCGTTACGCTCGAACTGTCGAGCGCGGACCAGTCTATAAAATACGCGGCTTCAGAAATCCGGTATTTAGCGTTCACACGAGGAAATGCGCAGTCCAAGAGATCCGGTATTTGTCAAGCACGGCAAATTATTCGGGGTCTGGGAAGCCGCGTATTTACATCAAATACCAGATCTGTTTAGATACCGTATTTCTTGGACCGCGCATTTTGCCTCGTGTGAACGCTAAATACCGGATTTCTTGCTACGTGTGAACGCAGCTATTGTCCCAGAGAGGGACTAATAATACCCCCCCCCCCCCCGCTTCGAGCTGTTATGGTGCCTGTATGTGTATTGTATAATTTTTCAACGAACGGCTTTATGGGAAAAATTAGCTGGCACAGAAGGTGCAAGCAAATGCAGAGTAAAACATGGAAAACATCAAGCACATAGACATGCACGCACGCACACACAAACACACATACACACATACACGCACACATACAGAGACACACAAAGAGGAAGGAGGACGGGAGAGAGGGAGGAAGGGAGAGAAGGAGGGAAGGAGGGAGATAGAGAGAGACAGAGAGAGAGATGGATTATAACCACATGTGGGGCTGTTATATGTGCGCTTATCTGAAGGGATACAGTGGTTGGAATGCGTGCGTACACATGGCGATGATACGTTTTTATACAGCGGTTGGAATGCGTGCGTTGTTATGCAGGTGAAGACGTGGGGAATAATGCACTAGATGGCGTCAGCATGTCATATATAACCAAATGGGTTTATTTACGAAAAACCGCCATAAATCTTTCCGAAAATGTCGGACGCAAAAAATTCATCGCAAGTGTACAACTACATTGGGTACTGGTGATGTGTACAAAATATGGTTGAAATCGGTCCAGTATTTTTCGAGGAGATCTGTGCACAAGTCTGGTGGCGGACAGACAGACAGACCGACCAAGTGAAAACAATATACCCCCCCCCCCTAACTTCGTTGGCGGGGGTATGATAAATGAAATGTCTTCCAATAAAAAACACGGCGATCAGAACTCAAACTAATCGATTACATATTAAATTTCACACATGCAAATGGCGCGACGCTTCTCAAATATTTTTTATCTCGTGCCTTTTACGTGAAAGAATGATTTTCTATCAAGAGATGCCCACATGCACTTCCCACATGACTGATAACAATACCAGGGTTAGAAATTAACTTTTGAACATGGGAGTCCAACGGACTGGACTACCTACCCTCAAAAAGAGGGAGTCCGCAGCAAAATAAGGGAGTCCGCAGCAAAATAAGGGAGTCCGCAGGCTGAGGTTCAAAATTAAAGATATTAACAATAATGCATGTGCTTATTTTTAAGATTCATGCGGTTGCATGTCTGCCAAAATCTCTTTGGACATTTGCTGAAAAAATACGGTAATTCCACAAAGCTGTGCTCCGGAACGAACTAGTTAGTATGGTAGAATTTTCAGGGAGTCACACAGGCTCCTGTGTATGTCAAATCAGGGAGTCCGACAGTAAATCAGGGAGTATTTGACTCCGGACTCCCGTTAATTTCGCACCCTGCAATACCATTCGGACGTCACAAAAAACATAAATACGTAGTGGCGTTTTTTACTTCACAGCAACAATAGGAACACAGTGACAACTGCAGGCACTAGCATGTACCGACATGATAGACCGACGCGAACAGAGGGGAGGACACCTACTCTTTCTGGTGTCCGTGCTGGGTGGCCGCAGGCTTCCAGAAACCGTTCGGTATGTCCGGCGGCCGACTGCACAGCGCGCTGCACTTGGGCGGCTGGCTCAGCCATTCGCCGCTGGCCAGACAGAAGGACATCTCGGACGCCGACGATGTGTTGTGTCCGACGAAGCTGCAACGACAAACGTCAAATGTAAGCTCTCCACGCTCTGCACCTTAGGGTTCTCTTTGCGCCTTTAATGCATGTTGGATCTGACATATCTTTAAAGCCATGGCCAATTTTTTTTAGGAATGAAATAAGAAGTCCCATTGGTGCTAAAACTAGCCTAGGTGTGCAAAAATCTCAAAAATTTGTAGCCACTACTATTGATGATTAACCATTAGTTTATCCAATATAGCATAGCATCTTTCACTGCGCACCTGTATCCCTTGTCACAGAAGTATATTACGACGGTATCTACATCGACGGTATTATCACTGCCAAGTTCACTGCCAGACACGTTGTAACTGCCATGCGGATCTTTGTGCGGTAATACGCACTTACGTTTCTGAAAATGTCCCAATCACAAAGAATTACTAGTATGATTACTACCATGCTAGATTAAATAAAAAAAATACCTTTTACTATAATTTTTTACCACACTGGATTAAATTTAAAAAATAACATTACTATTTTTAACTGTTTAATATCATTCGCTATCCACTTACCTCGACTGATGTGCAAACCGGAACCTTTCCTTCAGTGTCCAGCCAGTTTCCATCTACCTGACACCTTACTTTGGCACTTCTCACACCAGTCTGCAAGATTACGCACAAGACTCTTAACTTTGATTATGTTCTGCACAACTGGCATTTCACATTCATCATTTCCATATTCCCGATACACTGTATACATGTACAAAACCAAGTATAATGAATTAGAATGGAGTCACATCTCCTTACTACAACCATTGCATGCAATGTGAGTTACATAAACATGACACCACCTAACCCATATCTAATGACTGAGTAGACAAAATATTGAATACAAATACTTACAGATAAATGATAGCCATCATTGCACTGTAAAGATACGTGTGCTCCAACATGAAAGATTGCTGATGAGCTTGTACTAACTACATACCTATGTACAGTTAAAAATGTTACCCAATTAGAAACAACTATATGTAATCACGTCTCATAGATATTGCCCAGAAAAATCAGCGTACAGTGAGGCCCGGGCTATATTTCATCACTTACAAACATCGGGCCTAACAACAATGCTGCGTTAATTGTTTTAATATACACCAGATAATTTATGAGTAGATAATAATTGAGTTCACGAGTTCAGAACAAGTGATTGCACTTTGGAAGCCATTATGGTACTAACATAAGAACTCACTGTATTCAGAATCACAAGCTGTGCACGTATAACATGCAGCATTACTATGCCATGCTTACCCATGGCGCAGATAGGGTTCACTGCATGTTGTCTCACTTTTACTGCTAGCGGTGGCAGAGGCAGTTTGTACACAGGCATAGTGATCACCTACGACAGTCTTTCCAGACATGTAATATATATCCAGTGTATCATCCACAAATAACCTGAAATGTGCCAAAACCTTTCTTATTTAATCTTAGTATATTTCTTACCTTATTTATAAACCTTATTATTAACGAAAAACACCGCGTAAGAGTCCAACAACTGAATGACTACTTTGTATATACATTAATAATATGAGTTATAAGAAATAGAAAAGCTTTAAAAATCACAATTATCACAGGCCCTACAATCTAGCGCACTGACACGACACAGCCAACATATTATTTTGTACGAACCACGATGCTGTATTTATCAAAGCTTTCCTATTTGGTAGAATACGAGTTCTCTGTTGACTGGATTGTAGCTTAAGATTGTAGATTAAGAGAACAGATTTCATTCAACATACCGTAGGCAACTTCGACGGTACACTGACACAGATTTCCCAAAATATTTGAGGTGGTATGACATTTCACACACGTACAAGATTCTATCTCCTGGACTCAAAATCACAGATGCACTGTCTGTGGAAAAAATTATTAAAGATACATATATGTAAATTTATATATTTTAAATAACAGACGAGTAAATAATAAACAGGGGCAACAGACGTCGGTCTATTGTACTTTTTCGATAGTGACAAAGATAGAAATCATAATGTTATGTACAGCAAAATTTACTATCATTAAAAGGAACATATGAAACTTTTCACATATGTGAATAATGCATAGATTGACTCCACAGCAAAATAATGATGGCAAACCATGCAACTTGAACATACCTGCTAACGAAAACAGGTCTTCTGTATGTACATTTGGACTTGTTCCTCTGAAAAATAATCGCCAGTACATATATTAAATATTCTGATAAGGGTGCGATACTGAAGAGAAGTTTATCCAAAAAGAGCTGGAGGAACCTTCTAGAGGAAAATTATTAAATAGTATGAAAAGCTAAGAATTTCACAGCAATATTACAAAACAATAGCCTCGTTCACACGAGACCTCGTATTTATAAAATACGGTATTTGCGAAATACCGAATCCGAGACAAATACGCGGCCGAGCGTTCACACGCTGATTCGCGGCTTCAGAAATACGGTATTTGCGAGCTGCGAGCTGCTTTAAACAATCAAGCAAACAATGCGAAATAAACGATGCAATGCGCACCAACTGCCGATAAAATACGTAGACTGGTCCGCACTCGACAGTTCCACTCGCATTACACTCGAACTGTCGAGCGCGGACCAGTCTATAAAATACGCGGCTTCAGAAATACGGTATTTAGCGTTCACACGAGAAAATGCGCGGTCCAAGAGATCCGGTATTTCTCAAGCACGGCATATTATTCGGGGTCTGGGAAGCCGCGTATTTACATCAACCAGATCTGTTTAGATACCGTATTTCTTGGACCGCGCATTTTGCCTCGTGTGAACGCTAAATACCGGATTTCTTGCTACGTGTGAACGCGGCTAATAGCTAATTACAACATTATACATAGAATGTACTTTTATACAATGTAATAATCTGCAACAGATAATGTAACCACATGTATGCTTAAATTCCATATACATAAACACACTTACCTTGTTAAAAGTACCTTCCCATGCTTAATAGCTTTTGGACCAGAATATATACACCCGTGTAAAACACTAGCAGTTGTCATGTTTGTTTTTGTTGAAGGTGGTATAGTACTTATTGCTGACTCTGCATATATATGTATGATGGTGATATATAGCCATGCTGCAATGCAGACTAGGTGTTGTTGACCAAACATCTGCATTATTCATGCTATTCCAAACATGTGTCGCCGGTCTGGAATATTCGTTGGCTTCTTCTATAAAAAAAAGAAAAAAGTTAAGAAACAAAAAAAAGAATGTGCCCGTCCAATGTATGTGCATGCACTAGTGCCACTACACATACAGAATGTTGCATAGTTTGATATATTATTATTATTATTATAATTATGGTCCGTGTACATCCATGCTTCATTTTTGGATCCACTGCGATACGCAGTGTTGATCTGTCGATTTGATCAACCATAGGTATAGAATACAGGATCAACTTGTCTCCTCGTCTTTGTTGTAGTCCCTTGGACTTGTTGTGAGGTTATGACTATGAGGTTATAACTTATACACACTGTCACTAGTGCATCATATGCTTAATACAGATTATTCCATGATTTAATTAATTGATATACACACTTCCACTTCTACATGGTACGGTACACTACACAGTACACTAGCTGCCAGCACTCCTAGAATTAGGAGAAACACTATAACACCACAGTTACAATGAACACAGAAACACTATAGATAATGGCCCTGTCACACCTTGACGATTTAGCCAGCGTATGCCGATGTATCAAAAATTTCTCTAAAACGCTGGCATACGCTGAACTATCAATGTTTTTTTAAATTTTGGTCGTATACATAGCGTATTCATAACGAGTTGGACGTATACATAATGTATTAGTAACTTATATAGAACGTTTCAATAACTTATAGATAACTTATACCAACGAATGCTTAGCGTGTTGCCGGCGTTCACAACTTATGCCTAATGATAGTCAAACTTATGCATAGCGCGCGGCAGCGTATCGCTGACGATCACGTGTTCGACCTCTTCTTCTCCTGGCTCTATTGGCACGCAACTGGTACAGTGTCAAATCGATGAGGTCATGCTGATGTTGGAGGACAGCTAGTAGGTATTCTCGTCTCAGCCTTGCCGGATCCTCCATCTCTTGGATGACATGGACATCTGCTTACCATGGAGTCTTGAGGAGTACTGACGGGTTCCTCCTGTGAACCCCATTTTTATATACCAATTCCCCTAAACGCTGCCAATACGCCATTATACGGTAGCTGTAAGTTAGAAACACGTTCAGTAAGTTCTGTGGTCGTCCGGAACACGTCAAATACGTCTACATACGTCAATATGCGTTGGAGATATAAGTTCGATATAAGTTACACATAGGTTCAAAGCACATTACTCATAGGTTAGAAATAAGTTTTGGGTACGCTAGACATTATCTCGACGTATTTCGACTTATGAGTAACTTACAAGTAACAGAGTGGCTATATGCTTGGCAGCCGGCATATATCTGACGGCTGCCGGGCACGGTCTTCGATTTCCTAAATGCCCGGCAGTTTTTAATTTTCAGCGTTATCTCAAGTAAACAAGGGTTAGGGTTAGGGGTAGGAACTGCCGGGCATTTAGGAAATCGAAGACCGTGCCAGGCTGCCGGGCATATAGCCACAGCGTACAAGTAACGTGTGTCAACGATCGCATAACTTACCTACAACTTATGGCCCGCGTATGCGGGACGTATGGGCCATACGCTGGCATGTTAAAAATTGTGCATGCAAAAAAATTTTCAACGACCTCGCCATACTACACCGTATACAGCCTATACTGCCTACCAGCGTGCTTCAGCGTGCGCCTATAACTTATACAAAACTTACCCATAACTCATTCGACATACGCCAGCGTTTTAGAGAAATTTTGATACGTCGGCCTACGCTGGCTAAATCGTCAACGGTCAAGGTGTGACAGGGCCATAACTTAGCTCCAAGAAACGGTATTGCTAGGGTTAGAATACCATGTATGTATAGAAAATCGAATTGTACCGAATGTATAGACAGTCTGGTCGGGCTTAGCCCGACCAGGCTGTGCGACGGATTGTAACCCTAGCAATACCGTTTCTTGGAGCTAGGTCGGGCTAGGCCATAATTAAGTAATAAATAGTACATGTAACATTAGCTCTAGTACTATAGCCCGCTTACATTAAGTTGATTAACCGCCGCTGGCAGCGGCAACTGTACGCGGACTATAGTCACAGGCACTTGAAGCATATCAACAGTAAACATACGCCGCCGCCATCGCGCGTACACTGACACATATATATTAAGTGTGTATATATATATATGTGTGTGTATGTATATATTAAGTGTGTATATATTAAGTATATATTAAGTTATACACTTAATATATATGTGTCAGTGTACGCGCGATGGCGGCGGCGTATGTTTACTGTTGATATGCTTCAAGTGCCTGTGGCTATAGTATAGTACTAGAGCAGAGCTAATGTAACATAGCCTAGGCTATATTATTAACTAAGTATAGCCTAGGCTATAGTATAGCCTATACTAGCCTACACAAATACCCGTGTTTGTAAGTTTACGTTGAAATCTAGTTAATTTACGCCTAACATGCGTGTTATTCGGGCAGCCTCGCCGCATGTGACCATCACCTGAGTTTTCCTTTTCACATACAGTACTTCAAGTTCCGTGTGTTTTTCTTTTTGTCTACAAAACAAGCTGTTAGCTACCTCATCCGTCCTTGTGAAAACGAATGCTATTACTGTACTGAGTGATTGATGTTTTGACATAGTTTCTGTAGATGGGCTCTGTAGACGTTTCGCCCACGCATGGGGTATGGAAAAAATAATATTACCTGTCTTTACCCCGCCCTACTCAGTCGTAACAAAAATTATTAACAAGGAAAAGCCACCGTAAAACAATATATACAAGTAAGAATACTAGTAATAAAATTAAAGTTCTATATAAAATATCATGTTTTACTATATACGCGCATGTGTATATATATTTTTGCTGCAATTGATGACAAATCTAAGATCAGACTTGTCGTTACCTCTGCCCTAATGTGTAAAGATGGACCAATCAGACAAGTGCGTTCTTTTGAGATGTGCCAAATGACGTAATTAATATGTCAGCGCCCAGTCCAAGTCGCGAGAGCATGATATTGCACCATCAGTGTAATACACAACTATTTGTTAGCCACCACGAAGGTCTTAAATCTCAGGCGATACGACAGTAGGCCTATCATTGCAGTTATGATGTCTAGTTCATTTGTAGAAGGGCAGTTTTCAGATGCTGAAGAAAGGTAAGTCTTATGCTAAATAATAACAGAGTGGCTATATGCCCGGCAGCCGGCGTATATCTGACGGCTGCCGGGCACGGTCT